ATAGAGGTAAGAGCCATCTGAGCAGTAGAAAAAGCTGAAAATTCGGTGCCGAGTCCACGAAGGAACCAGTGCACTTTATCAATGTCCTTGACCGGTCTGCCAATGGCATGAAGTTGGTCACAAATTTTTTTGAAGGCACGGGCATACTCAGCAACAGGTTTGGTGCCACGTTTCATCAACTGCAAGTCATCCTTGAGTCTCAGTTCACGAGCTTTCGACTGATGGCTGAACGTAGTTTCCAACGCAAGCCAAACATCACGTGCAGTAGGGAGACCAACGACAACAGCCATGGCTTCCTCAGTGAGAGAGGAGAGCAGGAGACAGAGAAGTCGTTGATCGGCTGCTCTCCATGCCAAATATTTGGGGTTGAGTGTTGAAGAGGTTTCTGGTTCAAAGCGAGGTGGTGGAACCCTGGTTCCATCGACATAGCCCAGCATGTCTTGACTCTCAAGAAGAGGGAGAAGTTGGCTTTTCCAAAGAAGATAATTGGAGGAAGAAAGTTTGATGGTGATCATATGGATTAGAGTATTGAAAGGAAGAAGATGATAAGAAGATTCGGAAGCCATAGAGAAGAAAGGATCAGGGTTGTTAAACCGAAAGGGCTCTGATACCATGTGAATGTTTGCGTGCATTGTGTATCTTCTTTTTCTTTCCTTCCGATTCTACATCCAGGATAGTTTGGATGGAGAACCTGAGGTTTTGCTGGATCCTAATGCGCTAAGCGAAGACGGAACAGTCTCGTTGAGTAATCTTTCCGTCAGCAAGGATGCAAAATACTTGGCGTATGGGCTTAGTTCAAGCGGCAGTGATTGGGTGACAATTAAGGTCATGCGAATCGCTGATAAGAACACTGAACCGGATACATTGTCATGGGTGAGTAATTGAAGTATGTTTTTATTTTCTTTTCCCATTGTTTACTGGAACGGCAAAATGAAGAAAGTTTCGATGTAATGACCTGATATATGTGATCTCTGATCTTTCAGGTAAAGTTTTCTAGTATTAGTTGGACAGTTGACGGCAAAGGTTTTTTCTACAGCCGCTATCCTGCTCCCAAGTGAGTGTCATGAAAAGTGCTACTTAGGCCCCTGGCATGATTGTCCAATCAACGAACTTATGTTTGATTGAAAGTATTATGCAATGGATTGTTGTCAAATTTTATGGAACATGGACATATTGAGAATAGAATGTAGGAAATTAGCACGACTGCTGATTTAGATTGAATGGAGACACTGACATTTTTATCAACTAGTTCAGAAGCTAGGCAGTTTAGTCTGCAGGATTGATTTAAACTTTTTTCCCTTTTCTTTTATTTTTTATTACTGATAATGAATTATATATTTTGGTTTTCTTCTTGGCACTGTAGAGAAGTAGGAAGTTTAGATGCTGGTACTGAGACGAATGCAAATCTTTATCATGAATTATACTACCATTTCTTGGGAAGTGATCAATCTGATGATGTTTTATGTTGGAGAGATCAAGACCATCCTAAATACCTCTTTTCAGCCACTGTTACTGATGATGGAAAGGTATTAGTCCCCTGATTCATGGATTTGGAGTTTTCTTATGATTGGTCTCTGATTTTTGCCACTTGCCGGCTACATTGTGTTCTTGGAGCTCTTATTACTGTTATAACCAAGTTATTAATTATTGGTTTCACGTCCTCTGTGTTGCTGCTTAAATTATGGCCTAGCTGTTCATGTCAACCACTTCCCATTCTTACTCGGCATTTATGAAATAAATACAAGTGTTTCTTTCATTGTTTCCCTGAATCGTGAATAACTTAAGTTGTCCTCCTGTTATAGGCCTTAACAGGAAAATATTTGAGATGGTTGTAAGTTGTATACAATATAAGTGGTCACTCTGTGGTATGAGGTTGTTTTATTTCATTTTTTCTCAAAGAAACATCTCTCTACCATCCTCACGGAGTTAAATTTAAAAGATCAATGTGAATGTATAAACACAACTCTTTTGCCTCTTAGCTATGTTAGAGGTTAAAGTTCTTATTATTATTATTATTTTTTTTTGTCATTGTTATGCACGATTTATCCTATAGATGATTGTTTTAAACTCTACAGCATTGACATATATGCCATTACCCATGTGAGCATAAGTTTACCATTGCTCCTATTCAAATCTCCCGTCAAGTGTCTTTTAGCATGCAAGCATGTGTAGAATAAAAATATTTCCTTATATATTTCAGTTTTGATTGATTGTTATCCAGTTGCGTTTACATCTTTACTATCACTATTTTATTTTCCAGTATGTCCTTATGGAAATTGAGGAGGGCTGTGATCCAGTCAACAAATTTTACTATTGTAACATATCGGCACTTCCTAATGGACTTGAAGGCTTCAGGGAGAAAAATGAGCTGCTTCCTTTTACAAGGCTTATTGATGACTTTGATGCTCAGTATCATGCCATTGCAAACGATGACACATTGTTCACCTTTATAACAAATAAAAATGCTCCAAAATATAAACTTGTGAGAGTGGATCTGAATGATCCTTCAGTTTGGACAGAATTACTTCCAGAATCTGAAAAGGACGTGCTAGAATCTGCTTGTGCTGTTAATGGCGATCAGATGATAGTGAGCTACTTGAGTGATGTTAAATATGTTCTGCAGATAAGGGACTTGAAGTCAGGTTCCTTGTTGCATCAGCTACCCATTGATATTGGCTCAGTTGATGGAATTTCTGCTAGGCGTGAAGATAGTCTAATTTTCATTGGGTTTACTAGCTTTCTTACACCTGGAATTATTTATCAATATAATTTGGAGTCTGGGACTCCAGATATGAAGATATTCCGTGAAATTGTTGTTCCTGGATTTGACCGTTCAGAATTCCATGTTGACCAGGTAAGAGTAATTTATATGTTGAAAACTTATGCCGATTGACAACAGCGATAACTAAGCGACTGACCATTTATTTCTTTGGTCAATTTAGCCCATTTATTGCACTATTATATGAGGATCCCAGAAATTCCTTTGTTTGCATTTTTCAGATGGGACTACAGGGTTTGACTCTTTCTCTGTCAACACCAAGAAATATGCATTTCCTACGGATAATTTTCTCTTCCAGACCTTTTATTGTTCTTCTTTTGTATAGGTTTTTGTGCGTAGCAAGGATGGAACAAAAATACCAATGTTCATTGTGGCCCGAAAGAATATTGTGTTGGATGGATCACACCCTTGCTTGCTATATGGGTATGGTGGATTTAACATTAACCTGACACCATATTTTAGTGTGAGTCGTACAGTACTTGCAAGGCATTTAGGTGCTGTTTTTTGCATAGCTAACATTCGTGGTGGTGGAGAATATGGGGAGGAATGGCACAAAGCAGGTTCTCTTGCAAAGAAGCAGAATTGCTTTGACGACTTCATTTCTTCTGCTGAATATCTTATTTCTGCTGGTTATACCCAGCCCAGTAAATTGTGCATTGAAGGTGGAAGCAACGGCGGGCTTCTCGTTGGAGCTTGCATCAATCAGGTGTGAAACCTTTTCTAAGTCTTATTTTACACATACATATCTAATATCGAACCAAGTCTTCAATGAGGTACTGAATGCCTTTCTGTGGCAGAGACCCGACCTTTTTGGTTGTGCATTGGCTCATGTTGGTGTTATGGACATGCTGCGATTCCATAAGTTTACGATAGGTTGGTTCGTGCCATACAGCAACATTGATTTTTATTCGTGAGTTGCGTGTTTAATCAAGTAATTGTCCTTAGGTCATGCCTGGACTTCTGATTATGGTTGTTCGGACAACGAGGAAGAGTTCAAGTGGCTCATCAAGTGAGTGAAGTTTTTATTCTCTGCGTAACACATCTTGGTTGCGTTTTGTTATAATCCTGTTACTGTTTCCAGGTATTCCCCGCTCCACAATGTCAAGAGGCCTTGGGAACAGCATCCTGATCGACTTCTGCAGTACCCATCAACCATGCTACTAACCGCCGATCACGATGACCGTGTTGTGCCATTGCATTCATTGAAGTTATTGGCGGTCAGTACTTTTCTATCATGCGGAGATTTCGCTTTGTTTACTTCACATTCATATTTCTCAACCGTATTTTTCTGGGTTCATCTTTGCCTCAAAACCGTTTTTGAAATTTTGGTCGGTTTTTTTTTACCCCTCTTTACTTCATTTTTGCTTAAATTGGACATCGTATGATGGTTTCGCTGAAACTTAACATATTATGTATAAATTCTAGTACCTCGGTTTTGCTTAAATTGACCATCATAGGGCGATTAGACTTAATCTTCACCATGTTAGGTATAAACTGTTTTTGAAACTTTACATATTTCTTTCTTATTATCGGTATTTTCAGACAATGCAATATATTCTGTGCACGAGCTTGGAGAAAAGCCCCCAAACCAACCCTATAATTGGTCGCATCGAGTGCAAGGCGGGCCATGGAGCCGGCCGGCCTACTCAGAAAATGGTAATCTTCAAGTGTGTTTGATTGCACATAGTTTATTAACATTTTTGTTGAGTAAAATATTGACTACTTTATTTGCACATAATATCAAATAATTGGCATCAATTTTGTTAAATTTACAGATCGACGAAGCATCTGATCGTTACGCGTTCATGGCCAAGATGTTGGCAGCGACGTGGATCGATTAGATTTATATTAGATACAAATCAGAAGTGGCATTCGAGGATTCCGAGCCGTCTACATTTTCCCGTGCTGTAACCATTTACTCATCGCCTCGTTAACTTTTTTTAAAAATTTGAGTGGCAATATTTGTGGCTTCCGCCAAGTCAGAAAGAAACATAAAGAACTTCCGATATACGATTCTTTTTTTGGTGAGGCTCGGAAGAATTCTTTCATAATTTGAAATTTAGTTGATACATATGATTTCACATGTAAACTGATTCATTTTTTAGTTATAATTCGTTTGATTTACTTTTACTGTTTTCTTTAATGTTACTCCTACAAATTACTTGCATGAAAAAATTTTAAGAAAGAAAAGTGAATTATTCTCTAAAATAGAAGGGAGAAATCACAACTGGTCTAAAAAACAAAAAGAACTATGACCTTCCCCTAATGTGTCTGAATCAAACGGGCAAAGTTTAGATTCTTAAAAAGAAATCTATTTTAAATTATCAAAGCGAATAAATCTATTTAAAAAAAATTAAATTACCACTTAAGCACCGAATTCCGAGTGATGACACGAATACAATCTCGAATCATGCTCCCATTAATGAACCTGTAAATATTGTGACAAGTTGATCAAACGTGATCAGACAGGAGGCAGTACAATCCCGCAGGAAGACACCTAACCTTTTTATTCAGCGAGATGGCCGTCCATTTTTATATCCGTAACGTCAAGTTGAAGAATCTCTGCTCTGCAACTAAGAATAGATCCTATACTGTAATAAAAAAGGAACCCAGAATAGAAATCAAGACAAAATAGGACTCCAGTATGGATATCAGAGCAACTCCGTACGAAATTCAGAGAGTAAGCGTTCCTAATACCTGGGATGCGTGCGACCAAGATCCCCATGGACAAATTCTTTAATGTACGTTCCAGCCTATGTTACAAATAAAAAACTAACAGTTCAAAGGCCAATTATCTTAAGAGACAAAGTCTAATTATTCCCATCCTTTAGATTACATTTTTAAATAATTCCAATTGAAAGGCTCAGGAAATTAAGACATATATACCTAGAGCTATTTATCCATTACAAACCGCGGTCTTCATTCAATGTTAAAAATATATACCTGGGTACACAAATGCAGGAGATAATACTGAGAACTTTCAGCTACCTTCTCAATCCTCATCCTAAAAATAAGTGAGAGCACCGTTAGTGATCCTCGTTGAAAAGCATGAAGGGATTATTGCATATTACTGTACAATTAGAAAGAGCTCCAACCAGTGGATGATCTTTTCACGTTCTAATGGACTACGGCGATGAAGCACTCTTATTGGAGTTCTCTGCAAAATTTTCTGCACAAGAAAAAAAATTCATAAGCATATTTCGCCAAGAAAAGACAGCTCAAACAGGACCCAAGTTTTTGTATGCAACTAAAATGTTATGCATTAAAAATGAAAAATGAAACAAGAGCATCAAGCTTTCTGAACTCCTCACCAGGTCTTTGAGTGATGATATTGACAACAAATCATCATCCTCAAGTGGGCGAGACGTCCACACAAGTGCAGCATATTGCTTCTGCATGATTAACACAGTCACAAATACAGAATGCAGACTTCTTTATTCCACCATTAAGCACAAGCCTCGTTCCATTTAATTCAACAAAACTTGGAAATTGTAATCAACAAAAAGATTCTTCATAGAGAAAACCTGCTTCTCTGCTTCTCCTTCTTGCACGAAGGCCCAACCCTCGCTGCCTACAACTTTCAGATTTCTTACGCCAATCTGCAATAATAATGTGATTGGTATGCATTTTGCAGCTATTTTAATCAATTGAATAAGCAACACAACATGAACAGTATGTTACCAATTTATTTTTTGAGCCATTTATCTTCGACTCAATTTCATTTATAATCATCTCAGATGGGAGAAGACGGGCATTCTGTATCTCAACCAGGAAAGGTCTACCTGAACCCAACATCCGAACCTGACAAGAAAATTAAATTTTAATTAAACAGTAACTGACCTCCTGTTTGTCAATTAAATGAAATCAGATTTTCTGTACATCAAGATCCTCTCTACCAGCAGCATGGAACTTATAACTATCACCCCGACAGAGGGGAAGAATATTGTTGCCTAGAATCTCCTGCAGATACCCATGATCCTTTCAACTTTTTCTTGCCACATGAACAGTTGTACAATAGGTCACCAAAGAAACAATCACTACCTCGACAGATGCCTCTCCCATTCTCTCATCACCGATTACCCAGCGTGTTTGACTCACATTTCTTGAATACTACAATAAAAGTTCATAATCCAGGGAGCTATGAGTCAGTGAAATACACAACCAAGTCTTCCTGGGGGAAAAGATGAAAAGTGGAAAAGTAGAACTTAGTTACCTTAATGTATCTGCCAATCAAGTAGATTGAAGTCCTATAACAAATTAGAGCCAAATGGCATGGTTCATTGATCTAGATAGAATTGATTTGGGGCAGAGATTGCCACTATTAGTAACCAGTTAAAAAAGTAACAAAAATCTGTACGCGAAAGTAAACACCAAATTACTAAGCACACCATAGAATTATCTTTCGAGTCCCTTAAACCGAAATTAGAAAATGATAATAAGAAAAAGATTCACACCATACTTTTCTTCATCATGAACCTATAGTATATTAACTTCAAATCCTTGGGTCAAATCATACCGTATAAATCAAGTGAATCAAGTACACTTTCAATGAAATCAAACGGTAAAGGTTACATTTTTTTAATAACTAGAAGGACATAAATACCAAAGTTCATTTAGACAGTGACATCATCTTTTTTAATCATTTAAATACTATATAACAAACTAACCTTTTCTTGAGGAAATTCAAAGCACTTAGAAAGTTCAACTTCTTGTGAAGGATTGAAACAATTATCAGCGACAGAATTGGCACCAAACTTTGAAATATCCAAGGTTTCATCATTGCCAGCTGCAATAGAATCATCAATAGTTTCTGAGCTACGTAACAGCCGTCTAAGTTCACATGTCAGAGGTATGTGATTTAATACATGTAAACAAACAGAAATCAATTATCTACACTGGGTTCCTAAAGGTTAGGAATTGATCACGGCATCCCTATAGGATTTAGGAAATAGAAACGACAAGAAGACCCCTAAGAGAAAAGGAGAGGACATATGAAGTGGTATTGGTATGAATTTAATATTCATGTACCTCCAAACATAAAGATTATTTGAACTTTTCATCCAATAAACTTGAAGAGTGAGAAAATTTATGGCAGTAATAGATAACTTATTATTTCTCAATCTATATAAAATAGTGGTGACAATTTGATACAAAGGTTGAATTAACTTGCCAATTTTTCTCATCTTGCAGCCGTCCTGGTGTCTTTTGTTGGAACTATCATTGCTGTTTGAAGCTTTAGGATGACTATAAGTTAACCGAATGCGCAGACCACTTGAACTAGATTTGCAATCCTGCATAACTTCATCGATAAATATTAATCAATGAACTTTTCCCTTCAAACACCCAAATTATACAAGGAAAAAATTACTTAAAGAATGGTCCTCTTTAAGATGAAAGGTTCGTTTGCATCATTTTTCAAAAGATAACCCTTGTCTTCAGTCAACAATGTTGAGGTGCAACTGTACTCACCAGTAAAGTTTCAAGAGGCTTTGTTACACATATTTTTAATGCATCTTTCGCCGAAAGAGATATAGGAGGAGGCTTGCCCTGGAACCAGTGTTCAGACCCATATTTTCTTTTCAAATACAGCCTGCAATCCAGGGATGAAAACAATAACTACAAAATGAATTGACACGTTAAATGGACTATTGAAAGTCCAATATTAACAAGCCTTGGTAGCACAAACCAAAAAGAGGTTCCAAGAGGATCATTTTCTTCAGCCATGTCTCATTTTCTTCAACAGGTCATGTGTATTAGAACTTATATGATAAATATTTTATTTTTTCTGTTTTCAACATAATTTTCCCCCCCTCTGATCTAATACTTCTACTTTCTGTTTTTAGAAAAGCTACCAAGGGATCAGCCAAACTGAAGAGCTAAACAAAATATGTATAACATATCCAATTTTTTGTTTTTCAAAATCATTTGTTTGATAATGCTCTAAATTATAAACTTGTTTTCATTCTCTCTTCACAAAATTTATTTCATTAACTGGATTTCTATTTAGAATACAAAAGCGATGAACAAAAATAAATACCAAACCATTTGTTTGATAATGCTCTAAATTATAAACTTGTTTTCATTCTCTCTTCACAAAATTTATTTCATTAACTGGATTTCTATTTAGAATACAAAAGCGATAAACAAAAATAAATACCAAACAAGTTTGTTTGATAATGCTCTAAATTATAAACTTGTTTTCATTCTCTCTTCACAAAATTTATTTCATTAACTGGATTTCTATTTAGAATACAAAAGCGATGAACAAAAATAAATACCAAACCATTTGTTTGATAATGCTCTAAATTATAAACTTGTTTTCATTCTCTCTTCACAAAATTTATTTCATTAACTGGATTTCTATTTAGAATACAAAAGCGAT